CCATTGTTATAAATAACACATTCAATTGAACTAAACTATGCATGCCTATTTAAATATATTTACACTAGGCTTGTGTATATCGTATATGTATATATATATTATTCATACCTTCGATGTATAGGCCGCAAGCAGATTTTGACATCAAATTTTGGGGTAAAAAGTGCGTCTTATACATTGAAAATACGGTAATTTTATTAGGTGAACATCATACTTGCAATCAGCTCAAAACTTATAATTGGAATGAGCTGTTAAAAACTTTATAAAGGAACTTGTATAAAGGAACCTGCACCCTCAGTGTTTTTGAGTTTTGCAGCAACCAACCTAAAATATCTGCCAAAAAATTCCTCTTTGGCAGAAATATAGGTGTGGGTGTTAATATATTCTTTCTATTGCAGTTTTTTTTAGAGTTTTAACCATTTTACAAAATTCTAATTTGATACCATGATAAACAAAAAAGTGTTTGATCTTCAGTATGACCTTGACCTTTGCACTGTCTTTATCAAAATTTAATTAGTTGACCCACGGAGACACTCGATGTTTGTATGCAGTTTGATTAAAACCTCTTGAGCTGTATTGTTGACTTTGGTCTGACATTTACCTTACAAACACATTCACCAAAAGTTTATAAACTGGATCTTGGGGACACTCAACCTTTCTACCAAAATTGATCAAAATCATATGAAAACTTTTTAGGTTATGATGTTCACACACAAAGGTGTGACAAAGATACACCTGCCACTGGGATGTTCACACACAAAGGTGTGACAAAGATACACCTGCCACTGGGATGTTCACACACAAAGGTGTGACAAAGATACACCTGCCACTGGGATGTTCACACACAAAGGTGTGACAAAGATACACCTGCCACGGGATGTTCACACACAAAGGTGTGACAAAGATACACCTGCCACTGGGATGTTCACACACAAAGGTGTGGCAAAGATACACCTGCCACTGTGTTTGGGTAATTAGTATGTACGTATGTGTGTGTGTGTGTGTGTATATATATAAAATTACTAAGATATTTCTAAAATATATAAAAAACAAATCATTCTCTGTTTACTGTTTTCTTTAAACTGGACAAAAATTATTATTATTCACAAGAAAGTTTACTGCCCTATTTTACTTGATGGAGTTGTCTGTCACTTGGCCTCACATACAATTCATTGCAATATGTGCTACACTGCTCATTGCGTGGATTTGGTTTTAAGCCAGTAGTAATAAGAATTTCTTGTGTTGACAGGTAAAGACCAAAATCGAGAAAACAGATGTTTGTTAACATTTCATAAACATTTGGTCATGATTGAGACTTATTTTATGACAGTGATATTTTGTTTTGCTGAAAAACAAAGGCAGTCAATAGATTGCTCTTTGCACATAGTTTTTTTAAAGCCATGTGAAGATAAGTAATAGTAGTCATTAAAAGAACTGATTTTATTTTTCAGAGTAAGTACTCGAGATAGCTGTCCTAGAGTGTTTGCATTATTATCAATGTTTTGTGTGTGTGTGTTTCAGAATCTCATAAAGAATTTTTTAATAAGTTTTCTTTTTGGTGATGGTGGGGGATGTATTTACTTTAACAGTATTTCTTTTCTAAGGATAATGCTTTTGTAAGATAATTTTTTGTTCTATTCATCCAGGAAGAACCAGAGACTGAGATCCTGAAGCAAGAAGTAGAATCTGCAGACCCAGCCTACTGGGAGAAACTTCTTCGACATCATTACGAACAACAGCAGGAAGACTTGGCCCGCACTCTCGGGAAAGGAAAGAGAGTGAGGAAACAGGTGAATTATATTGATACTGTTGGCCCGCAGGATGACTTCACGTGTCAAGACAATATGTCTGACTACAACTCGGATTTCTCTGTTCCATCAGGTAAAGTGTTGGATTAAAAACAATGATATCCCACTTATGAATTAAGTAGTTAGATCATTATGGTTTGTATTTTAACTTATTATATTTATAGATTCATATTTTGCATTGTCTAAACTATGCCATAAAATTAAAATGGATAAATTTGTAACTAAGCCTAATATAGGTTGAATACAGAAATATAAAGACTTGTTGTGCAAAAGGACAATTTTAATGATGTGTAGTAAAGGAATGAAAGAGACAAGATTTGGTGTAAAGCTAAAATAAACACTTTATTAATTAAAACAAAGAAGAATGGCTGATTTTAAGGTTCAAAAGGACTATTACCTTGTTAAACATTGAGTTGAAAGTAGGATAAACTGTATTTAAAGATGACTCAGCATGATCAACAAAAGTAACAGATAAGGGGGCTAAAATTTAGCTGAAACTTCAGCAGCATGTCTTGTTAGAACGTCGGGACAGAAACAAACCTGTTATCTCTGAAGACAGAAAGGAATTTCTCCGAAAACTGTAGTTACATTTACTCTTATGCTGACCGATAAGATAGATGGATCAGAAGGATCTGGAAACTCCATGTAACAATTGTATAAAAGTAATCATCTGTAAAACAGAATAGTAATCCATGAAACAGTAAATAGCTTTTGTGATCCAGAATAGTAATCCATGAAACAGTAAATAGCTTTTGGGATCCAGAATAGTAATCCATGAAACAGTAAATAGCTTTTGGGATCCAGAATAGTAATCCATGAAACAGTAAATAGCTTTTGTGATCCAGAATACTAAATCATGAAACAGTAAATAGCTTTTGTGATCCAGAATAGTAATCCATGAAACAGTAGGTAGCTTCTCTAATCAGAACCTCCTACAGAAAGTTACACTTCAGGCTAAATTTAGTATATGACCTTAACTGGACTTAGTATGTTTCATTTTATAACTTAGAAAAAGTTTTAAATTTTGTGGAGATGTAATATACACACACACTACAGGAGAGTAGTGTGTTATGTATTATTATAAAATAAATTTCATATTCTACTCAGCTCCACAAGCTAATAATAATTTATTTTCGTAAATATTTTGAAAATTTAATTAAAAGCTATTCCTCCCACTAGTTTACCTTATATGAGATTGGCGTAAGATACTGTTTATCTTACTTTCCATGTGGTATGATCTCAAATGGTTAACATGAATTTGTTGTCAAACTTGATACACAGGTAAGGGTAAAGTTTTGATTTCAAAGTGTTGAATTTCTCATATTAAATAGCCTAAAAAGGATTAGATACGATTTTTCTTATGAACTTAACGTGGTGTCTAACTTATGTTTGATGCAGTTCACCAGGAGTAGTTACTGTAAGCTAGTTACTAAAGTCTTTGTTTTCTGATTACAGACGATAATGAAGATGATGACGATTTTGAAGAAAAGAATGAAGGTACAATACTTTTTAATAGTAAAATTACACAACTATTATGTAGTAAATAAATTCTCATTTAATTCTTTACATTTAAACCGTACCGTGTAAGCTTTTTTTAACTAAGTCACTTTTTGTTTCATTTGAAAAAATAAGATTGTTGAAATTTTTTTGCTCTCTATGTGTTAGAATTTTCATGTTTTTTTATGCTCTTCAACTAATATCTGTGATAAAATCTTAGTCTGGCAAATGAAAATTGATGCACACTTAAAAATTTTTTAAATTATTATAATTTCTTTATTTTTAACAATAAAGAAATACTTTTTTATCATCTTGATAATTAAAAATTTAAGCTCTTAAATACATAAGATATGATGGTTTATAAACGTTTTGCTCTAAGAGATAAAGTACACAAATGGAGAGTTACACTATTTACTCCTATACTTGATAAATAGTCAAGAGTTTTAAGTTTTACTTCTCATCTTGTTTACCTTGTCTTAGGGTCTCGGGTATTAACAATGAATTCTTTATTAACATATCAAATTAATTTAGCAACAATAATTATATGTTTTTTATCCTTGGAAGCAAATTATCAGAAATTTCACGTGAACTGCTTTTTTTTGTTATCTCTTTGGGTAAAAAAAACCTGAGAAACTATGTATTTATACCTGAAATAACCAGTATTTCCAATTTCGAAAATGTCTAAATATGTGTTTTATATTCCATTGTTAAAGAAATGTGTTACAATAAAATAAACAGTGTAAGAGTATCTCTCCATTTATTAAAACAGTTGACATGAAAGTCAAGTTTTTACCTGAGATATAGTTAAATTTTGTTATCATATTTTACTTGTTATGATTTTGTTACCTTTTGTTTTAAACCATTTATTGTGACATTTATCTGCATTTTGGATGATATAAATGTTTTTAGTCCTGATTTGTTTTTGTTTTAAAGCTTCCAGTGTACGTTCTTAGGTGGCGCTTCTCAACTGGATGAATGGTTCAAGCAGGGGTTAATGAGATAAGAATCAGGGTGAATATGAATGATGAGGTGAATGGCAGAGTGAATGAGTATAATCAATTATACAACAAATTCAAGAGCCAAAAGTCGTTAGTTATTATTATTTATTCTAATTGTAGTCTGATGTATATTTAAGTCATAATAAAGAATTTTACATTTTTATTTACTACTTTTTTTTTACTTTTTTCGAACTGGGGTGAGAGAGCTGTTGTGAGAAACTTGTAGAGGTGAATGATATTGGAAAAGGTTGAGAAGCACTGTTCTAAAGTGTTAGCTAAGTGGTGGATTAAAAAAAATTTAAATAAATAAAGGCACTGAAGCATATATATTTAAGGCAATATAACTTTTAGTACATACTGTATCTAGCATTTAGTTGAAATAAGGATATTTATTAAACAGCTACTGTGTAATAATATAGAAACTGTTGTCTCCACACAGAGAAAAGTACTAGAGGAAGAAAAAGTAGAGGTGGACAGAATGACAAGGATAAACCATTGCCCCCACTTCTCGCCAGAGTTGGTGGCAATATTGAAGTATGTTTTTCATTAAGTACTGCCATTTTGTTAATATTTATTACACTAGTTTTGGTACCCAGCAAAACAGATTTGTATGTTCTGAACAGAAGAAAGTTCTTTTTTTTTAATAAGATTTTAAAGTATTTAGATGAGTGGAATAATCTTTTTTATTTTGTAATTTTGAAAGTGCTACTTGGAATAACTCTCATAATATTTTATCAGGTTTTGGGATTCAATGCCAGACAGCGTAAAGCCTTCCTGAATGCCATCATGAGATACGGCATGCCGCCTCAGGATGCCTTTAACTCCCAATGGTTTGTTTTATTGATACCGTTTATGACATAAGTGTTATTCTGACCGGTGTGTGTTTGTGCTTGAGATGCACCTTGATGTTTGTGTGTTAATATGAGGATTATCTAAACTGCTGCTAAAACTGTGCAGTGTAATGAAGAGTACAAACATATCCTTAATCAGGAATAAGTTGATTGTAAAATGTTTGTTGGATGATGGTTTCTGTGTAAAGGAGTGTGAACTATTAAAGCTTGAATTTAGAGAAGTGTTTTAGTTGTATAGATAAAACACGAGAGAAATAATATGTATCTCTATATTTCAGAGAGCATGGCAGTTGAAAGTAAACAAGTCAACATTATTTGTATTAAGTAATTTATTTGGACTATCACCACATTTAATAAACAACAGGATCTAATGTTTATTAAACGTCTTGCACATGTCAAAGGCTTGGGTAATTGAGCCAAAAGCTTGTGCATTAAAAAAACATGGTGATAGTCCAAATAGATTACTTAATACAAAGTATGAGTGCTCATGTTAAAAGCCTGAAAAGTTACTTAAGTTGAGATTATTTTAGTTGAAGGTGTGGGCCATAAAACATTGGATAATATGTGTATATCTATAACTAAGAGAGTATGAAAGTTGAACATGAAGAAGTCACGATTATTTTAGTTGAAGGTGTGGGCCATAAAACACTGGATAATATGTGTATATCTATAACTAAGAGAGTATGAAAGTTGAACATGAAGAAGTCACGATTATTTTAGTTGAAAATGCTTCCCTTTGTATTTTATTGGTAATTTTTATGGCTGTACAAATATATTGAACAGTCCATTAGTCTACATGATATTTTGTATAGTAAGATTAAAGAACACTTTATCAGAAGATATATATGTATCAGCTTTCTTGCATTTTTATAATTTCATGTTTCACTATAGAAAAATGTTCTGTTAACAGTTATTTGTATCACGAAGAACGACTTCAAGGTCTGTACAAATTGAAGTAGCATGTTACATACAGCATATTGGCAAGTTCTTGACTGTGTTTAGTAACTACATACACCTGTTACACATTAATTTTTTTAAATAATGAAGTTTTTTTTAGTCAGTTTTTGACGAAGAAGTGTAATTTTTTGCGAGAATCAGTTGACAGGTATGTAACATAATAAAGTGTGTGCCAGTTTTTAAAGTGAAAAGTAGCTTTTGAATGAAACAATACAACATAAATTTTTGGTCTAATGTTCTTACCAAAACTTGCAGGTGTCTAACGAAAATTATATGTTAACATTTCTTCACTCGGTTTAGTTCAAACTTATAAATTAATCATTTTACAACATTGCCAGGCTAGTAAGGGATCTGCGTGGAAAGTCAGAAAAGCATTTCCGAGCTTACGTGTCACTGTTTATGAGACATCTGTGTGAACCTGGAGCAGACAACTCTGAGACCTTTGCTGATGGCATTCCGCGAGAGGGCTTGTCTCGACAGCACGTACTTACCCGCATTGGCGTAATGTCGCTAATCAGAAAGAAGGTATGATAGTGAATACAAATTTGTTAAAATCCAGAGTTGATTCCTTAAAACTTGCTGATAACGGACTTGACACACAAGAATAATAGTACTTTAGTAATAATACGGTTACTAAGAATATTGGGCTCAAAGACTTTTCTGTAAAAGGGATTTTAACACCTGAATTGGTTTAACTTTTTTAGAAAATACAATTTGTCATGTCTTGTACTACCAATCTTAACTAATTTCAATACAAAAGCAAAGATGAATCTTGTGTTGTGACATAGATAGGAAAAATGTTTTTTGGATTTCAAACACTGTAAGTTTGTGGGTATATAGTATCCTTCCTTTTTGTTTGTTTTTAAACTAGAAGTCTGTAGGCAGTATTGTGACCTATGTTGTTTTTTTAATGTCATGCTTTAGCTGAAATGTAAGTAATCATCAATGAAAAACAAGTGTGGGTCTAGTTTATTACATCGAACCAGAAAATGTGAAATTCATTTTATTAACACACTCCACTTTTACTGATTGTTAATTTTAATGTATATAACTTTTCTAAAAAGATGAAACAATACTTCCAGTGCTTTTCAGCTGATGACGGGTGAAGTATTTGTTAATGTGTGAAAGTTATTTAGACTTGAAATACCTGAGTTTGTACACTTATCATGGGATGGTCACAAACTTTCAAATCCTTGGTAAAGTGAGAATGTGTGAAAAAATATGCCAGTGTTAAATAAAAAGTTATCAAGGTTCATAAAAATGAGAAACAACAGGAAAAAAAAACCTCTCAGTATGTTAATTTTATTGATTAATTAATTTGCACCCACACAAGTTGCTACAAGTAGGTTTAATGAAAACATTCAAGTAATCATTATGTTGTAAGGTGTGGAAAATTTATGAAGTGAATACAAAGTGAGTACTTGTTTGTCAAATAAATCTTTTATTCATGCATGAAGTTAACATCTTTATGACCCAGGATTGTTTTTATGTGAGGTTTTCATTTTCTTTCTCAGGTTCAGGAGTTTGAACATATCAATGGATTGTGTAGCATGCCTGCAGAAGATTTAGCCTCTAGAATAGCACAAGAGGGCTCTCAAGGGCCTGCACCACCTGCTAATACCACTTCCTCAGCCAGCAGGACTGCATCTCCTTCTCTGACTCCTGGAGATAGCAAGGCATCTACTCCAGCAGCAACGCCAGTTTCTACTACTACTGATGAGAACGGAAAGGAAACAAAAGAAGGCAACACTGAAAGGGCTGTAACAGCTGAAGAAAGTAAAGAAGTATGTACTCTAATGCAAATGTGGTTGAGTGAAAATTGAGAATAGTTAATGATGGAAGACATCTAGTGTAAGTAACCAACATTAAAACTTGGTGATGCCTTTTACAGCATTATCTATGGAAAGACTCAGTTTAAAAGAATTGTAGAAAAAATAAATAAGTTTGTGTGATTTATTACTATCTTCGTTATGTAGTTCTTTACCTTGATTTTATTAACTGAGTGATTTTAGGAGAACAATAGAAATATACTGAAGTTAGATAAAGAATAGAAACATCCAGTAGAAGTGGCTTAGTAACGTGTGGTATGATCTTTGGCTGTTTGAACTGTTAATAATGTGTGGTACCACCTTTGGTTGTTTGAACTGTGAGTAACGTGTGGTACCACCTTTGGCTGTTTGAACTGTTAGTAACGTGTGGTACCACCTTGGCTGTTTGAACTGTTAATAATGTGTGGTACCACCTTTGGTTGTTTGAACTGTTAATAACGTGTGGTACCACCTTTGGCTGTTTGAACTGTTAGTAACGTGTGGTACCACCTTTGGCTGTTTGAACT